TAGACCCCGAAGACGCTTTCCGCAGACGAATTCTCCGAAGACGAATTAGACCCCGAAGACGAATTAGACCCCGAAGACGCTTTCCGCAGACGAATTCTGATGGCAATGTTGGATCGGATTGAGCAGATATGTGCCGATGGCTGAAGATGCAGTTTATAGCAGCAGAAATCTTTGATTGCCGCTTCATGTGCTGCCATGTACGTGGAGGTAGCATGTTTATGGTCTGCGTTCCACAGCAGCCGTTGTTTATGGCTATAGGCTATAGTAGTTACCCGAAGATTTGCACATCCCGTCATGATCATCATGGCCATTGCTTCTTGGGCTCACAGCTGTGAGCTGAGCCATTGGTCGGCATGGATAGCGAAGAGGAGGAGATCTGGAGATGCCATGGATGCCATGGATGCCAGTCGGTACTCTGAGGGTCTTCCGAGGGTGGAAGTTGACCGCAGGGACTGGGAGTTCGTCCGCAGGGATGTCCTAAGTGATCCTTTTTCCATCTTTTTTCCCCCATGGATTTGGGGTTCGGGATTGGGACCGATCGCCGGATTTTTGAAACATATTTAAACAGATGCAACATGGGGCTGAATCCCCCTGAACATGCACGTTTGGGTCTTCGTTGTGGTTCTCTAGTTTTGGGATGGCACCGGCCGGGAGCAGCGCTATGGGCCTCGCTACAGGGTGCGGAGATCTCAGTGCAATCCGGCCGATGCGGACATTGCTGGGAGATTTGGCTTTGCGGGAGCTTTGTTTGTGCATCCAGAAACACGCACATGTCACATGTCTGTCTGTGTGCTTTTTCATGTCCTTTGAGCAGTTCCATGATGATGTTGCAGGTGATCCCTGAACCCAAACACCGAATTCAAAGGAGCTGGAATCCACAATCTCAGACTTCCTCACAGCCTAGACATGAGAGAACACCTAGGGCTACATAAGAAACCAATCTTGCATATTCATCACCCAGACTCTTAAACTCCGCAGAAGTCTCTTCATGTCATTCCTTCCGGACAAGGAAACACCTTCCCATGCCCTACCCGTGGCCTCAGATGTGTGTTTTGCATCAACCGATCGATGCACCTGGCAGATGCTGTCCTGTGGCTACAATATCGAAAAAGCATCATTCAAGATATTCAAGCCCACCCTACAGAATCCATCACAATCCTGGAACCTTCTTTGTCTTCAAGAGAGAAGGTACAGTTGTTACATCATGTTACATCCATTCATGGAGTTTGTGCTGCGATATCTTAGGATATCTCGGGGTGTTTTTTGTTTGCTAGCTTTTCCTCCTGAACACACTGGAACGTTGGAACATCAACTTTTGTTTGTCAAACATGAAAGCTGGACCATAGACTTGTGGTTTGCCTCCCAGACGGCCCCTGACTAACGACTGCCATTGCTACAACATACATATTACAGAAGACACGCACAGCTGTGGAGTGTGTGTCCGGGTTTGTTAGCTGGTGGATGGTGAACATGACAAAGGATAGACTGAAATAGGTACCACCAGGACCTTCTGACCGGAAATCCAAGGTCGCATTCCCGCAGTGGTCCTGGCCGCATCGAAAAAAGTAGCGTTATCGTGGCAGCGCCGAAAATAATCATTTCGACGCTGTTGTGCCGGTGATGGCCTTGTTTGTAAGGATTTTGTGGTTTGCAAGGTCCAATGAATTGGACCCAAATCCATTGATGAAAAATGCAAGGGTCATGACAGACATGATCAAGTAGATAAGTTGTATTGTATTGTTGCTTTTCTTCCCTGACTCTCATCATGTTATATCAGGTACCATCCCCAATGGAAGTGATGGCAGCTGCCGGCGCAGCGTGATATACACATGGTTTGGAGAAAAAACCAGCCTTTGTCATGGGGGGATTGCATTCTGAGAGCAGACCATTCATACTTATCTTGAAGGTTTTGCGCATGTGTCCCCATGACGTGACTTACCCGAATATTCGACAAACTTCTGTTGGACGCGCTGGACCCATTTGGAGGCTAAGTTGAAGCTATGTTGAGTGAATTGTGGGCCCATGTTGGGCCTCATTTCAACCCAGACTCAAGGATGCCTGGCGTTTTGTATCATCTGAAGCCTATGTCAGGGTGATGGGAGTGGCAGAGTTTAGTGCAGACTTGCGCGAACAAGAGCTTCAACGCACAAGTTTACTGTTAAGGGTGCCCAGTCCCGTTTCAGTGGTACGTTGAGCTAAGTAGGAAGGCCATGTTCAATCATACCGTGCGCGGTACGGGGGCTTCTTACCTTTTAATACAACACAATGTCCAATTGTTGCGCTGTGTGTTCTGCCATATCTTGGACATGTGTTGGGGTTGCCTGCTGCTTCAACAGTGTCAAAACGGCCCGTGCTACGAAGAACCGTTTCGTGCAGTTTGGAGCATCAGACGGGGTCCTGTCACGTCAGGGAATGCGGCGTCGCAATGTGGCGTCAGGGGGTAATGCGGCGTCAAAGGGGCCATGTGGCGTCAGGGAATGCGGCGCCAGAATGCGGTGACGCCAGAATGCGGCGTCAGGGAGTAATGTGGCGTCACGGGCAAATGCGGCGTCCGGGAATGTGGAGCCACAATGTGGCGTCGGGAGGTAATGCGGCGTCAGAGGGGCAATGTGGCGTCAGGGAATGCGGCGCCAGAATGCGGTGTCAGGGGGGAATGCGGCGTCAGGGGGGGATGCGGCGTCAGGGGATGTGGCGTCAAATGTGGCGTCAGGGAGTAATTTGGCGTCAGGGGAGGAATGTGGCGTCAGGGAAGAATGCGGCGTCAGGGGGTAATGTGGCGTCAGGGGGTAATGTGGCGTCAGGGAATGCGGCGCCAGAATGCGGCGTCAGGGGGTAATGCGGCGTCAGGGGGGAATGTGGCGTCAGGGAATGTAACGTCGCAGTACTAGGAAAGTGGCGCCATAATGTGGCTGCAGCGTCAAGGTCAAAAGCGGGATCCCGTCTGCCGCCGCCCTGTTTTATGAATGAATGAATGAATGAATGAATCAATCAATCAATCAATCAATCCATTTGTTCTCAATTTATTCGTGAAGTAAAGAAGAATGCCAACAGCAGAGATTATATATATACATAAACAGGAAACTCAAAAGAATAGCTAGAAAAGTGTACAATTTTGTAATGCAAACTATGCCAAAACTTTTGTTTTGCATTTCGAACATTATTAGTTTAAGCACCCTGGACCGTTGTAAATGTCTTCATCCAAACTCTGCGGCTGAGTGGCAATCAGTCGATCCATTCATTTTCTCCAGGAGGTCTTGTGCCGTGGCGATCAATGTTGTCTTGTGATGCTTGTTTCCCTCTCCATGCATTGCGCGGCAACAATTGCCGGCAGATTTTGATTTTAGACTCCCCCTCGTCATTCAGCAATATGCAAAACTCAAAAGCTTCCTCAAATAGTGCAGGAGGTTTGTCGAAAATGTCAATTGACCCAACTTCCAACGGTCTAAGCACTGCATGCTGCAATTTGGTAGTTTCGACAGCTTATATTCTACAAGTGCGCTTTACTGCCTGTCCATGTATTTCCATTGAAGACAAAATTGCCAGGATACCGCTTGCTTGGCCACTGTCTGCTCCTTTGCAGCATGAAAGTTGTTCATTTCGCCAGTTCTCCAGATTGTAACAAGCATGAAAGCAGAAGCAGCAACGAACCACACGAGATTCTTTTGCCAAGCTTCCGCTTTGTCATTTGGTTTTTGCTATGCACACCAAGCAGGTTTTCTCATTTGGTATCGAGTACCACCACATCCACCACTTTGACATTCGAGTACCAGGGTATCGATTGGAAAGATGTGATGCTGAGGGAGAGGAGCCATGCGATGCTTTACGTGGTTTTCGTCATCGATCTTCCTATCGTTCCTTGCTTGCTTTTTGCAAAAGTCCTATCAGGCTGCAAACCTCTGGACTCGTGTGAACACTGTGGATTGGTTGCGGGCGGTGAAAAGCTTGTGCCACAGTCAGTTCCAAGGATCCAGCTCCTTGTTTGCATATATGTCTTGGAGTACCAATTACATGCATCGGCAGCAAAGACAATGGAGAGTCTGGACCAAGCCTGAACAGAAGAGCACTGACTGTTGAATCATGGACTAAACTTTGTGATATTTCTGGTCTGAGTACCTTGACCGTTAGGGCTTTCTTGTCAAGTGTGCAAAGCTATTCGGGGTTTGCCAAGGCAAAGCTTTTGATGGCTTGGAGTCTCCTCGATTTAGTTCCTTTTGGCCTTATTCTGCCTTGGGCTTGCAGGAGCGTGGCGGGGCTTCCAACTTGTAACCTGCAACCAACTGCGCCGCACACCATCTCAGCCAATTTTCTTCAATAATTTTGAGCGAACAGCACACAGAAGGCAATTGTTCTAGTCGCTTTGAGCGAACGGGAAAGAAAAACCGGCATCCATGTTTCATGTCGAGGCTAGCCTAGTATTGAATATGGTCGTACGGTCACAGGTGATTTCGAGGTGGGTGCATGCTGCTTTTGCTGCTGCAACGGGTGGTGTCTGCGCACAGATGTATTGTATGACAAGAACAGCAATGAACAGCCCTCAGGGAACGAAGGGAAGATGCAATCTTCCGGAGGGGCATTAAGCAGTGTCATAGCTCGATTTAAGAACATGGAGAACGTAAGACAAAAAGGAAAAGCCGGTCAAAGCAAGAGAAGTCCTGCAGAGGAGCCATGAGCCGTTGTTGTGCAAGGCACAAGGCATTCTGAACTCCATGTGAGAGTAACTTCCACCGGGGTCAAACGATTTTTGTTTTTGATGTCAAGTCTGTAATGCATGTATGACGTCATGCTGTCCTGGAGTGGCCTATATAAATCTATGAGCACAAGACTGCTATTTTCGACAACGGAGGACTGCAACACTCTCAATTCCTGTTCGGTCCTCTAACGCATAGGGACCATACCGTTGGGCATCAGAGTTGTATGGTCTCTCCTGTCCTTGCAATCGCATCACTTTAGCGTGTCTTGTTCATTTGTGGTAGACATTATTTTGCAACAGTGCTGTTGCACTCAACATGACATGCTGAGATGCATGTTTTTTGTGCATTGAGGCCTTGGTATTATATAGATTAAGCAGCACTGAACATTCGGGACAGCCAAAACAAACGGTGCACCCTCCATGTGCTGCTGCGAAGGACGATTGAGTTGCAGGAATCGGTCACGAAGTCGAGCGGATCTGTGCCAGAAGCACTGACCTGACTTTGTGCGTGGAGTGAGAAAGAAAGATTCGAAGGATCCCTTTTTCCTGCTTCCGTTTTACTGTTTGCACGAGTGAACAAAGATGCTGGAATGTATTTTTCTTGGTGCAGGCCATTCAGGTCGTTGAATGGATTCAAGCTGACCTGCTACTTGGCATACAGTCAAATGAGAAAACCCAGTTGAACACCATGGAAACAAAGGAGTGGCAGAGAGGATGCTTGGCTCATAGCCACAGTTCGATCCTCAGCAACACTTGAAGAGCGGGCATCAAATTCACAAGCATGTACTTCAGCCAGGTGTTGGAGTGTTGGGGCTGTCAATGCATTGTTTCAGTCTGAAAAGGTCAGTGGTGACGGGAAGGTTTTACTGTGGGATGCCAGAGACAATGATCTTTCGCAACCTTCCAGAGGCCCACTGAAACATGTGCAGCTTGCAAACGCTCTGAACCACTTGCTTGAGCTGGAATTGGCAGGCTTCATGCTGCAAGGATCCAAGAAGAGAATCTTGGGCGGAAGGCAATAGCCTCAATGAGTCGTGCGGAGTCTGAGTCTAAAACGACCTGGCTTCTGAGGTCGCTTAGTTTTTCTCCTGTGGACCCGTGGCTCTTTGTGGTGGGCACGGAGACAGGCAGAACTTACTGTAGTTTGTGCCAAGGCAAACTTATCGTGGGTGTACATGTAGCCTCCGGCAAGTAGAAAGTGAGTACATTGCCACCGCCAGAATAAGCAGTTCTGCAACAGAGATATTTCTGCAACATCGTCAACCATCTCAAGCATTTGTCAGAGAGATGGTTCTGGGGCATATGCAGTCACAGGCGTACGGCGTACGGCTTTCGACTAGAGAATAGAGCAATGCCACGCCTGAAATGGATAACGCTGCATGAGGAGAAGTTGAGCCTCTTGGCCTCGTCCCTCTCTGTCTCCTTTACCGTAGGACTGTGTAAAAGGTCAGGCTGCATACAGCAAAGGAAGTCTTATTAGGCGTCAAGAGCAGCCATTTGAACCTCCACACATGCGCGCTGTCTGGCAATGAAAGACTTGAACACACTATTGGTCACTACTGCTATGCGGTGCAACCAAGCCGCCTTCCAAGTCCCAGTATCAACCTCAAAGACGAGCAAGAATATAGAACAAACATGTTGTCAAGCAACCGCAGGCATACAGTATGAATGAAGAGGAACAACTGAGCAACACAGTAACCTAGCACGTGTTGGGTTCTTTGGAGATGAACTCTAGTTACTAGTTGGAAGTTAGACTTAGACCACTTAGACCTGCAGCTCATGATGTCAACACACCCAGCAGCGCCTCCAGCCCCTCCTCGCCTTCACACCTGTCCAGGTAGTGTGATTCGCGCTTTTCGGCCACCTCCAGGAGCTTCAATGGGAAGACCCACTGGTAACTTGGCAGTTCACCAAGTTTGAGAAGCAATCTTGTCCGAATTGCCACGATGAACTTAGGAGAAAATGGCTGCCCAAAATCACTTTCGGTTCATTTGTTATAGACTTGGATGGGGAGGAAGGTTTCATTGCCTGCAGTTGCACTCTTGAAGGTCGAATGCTGAGCCATCAAAAGCTCCAAAAGCTTTCCCCGCCTTCAACATCTTATTTTTGACAAAGAGTGTAATGAACGCTTTAATGACGTTTCTCAACCTTAAGCCAGACTGGTTGCTATGGATGAATGGATGAAGCACCACCATTCAATCAAACACCCTGCAAAAAATCCAAGGGTATATGACATGTGGGTGTTGTAAATCCCACTTCTAACAAGATATCCTTGGATTGTTGTGTTTGACTATTCGTCAGCTTCGGAAAAGGACAGGGCTTCGCCTCAGATCGTTTAAATCTGAGGCAGCTACACTTGGAAGGACTGCGCAGTCCTATTGCTGGACCAGCTGTCAGCCAATGCAAGGCTGGCGGGCATTTATACTGAGATAGAAGGCGTCCGCATTTGATTTTGGACATGCGACTCCTTTTTACAGGCTGCAGCTACAGCATCATGCGGAAGCCTCATAATGCCATTGCGGAGGAGTCCTCTTTAGATCAAGCCGAAGCTGAAGCTGAGACTTGTGTATTTTGAGTTGGTGGATATTTGGCATTGGCTCAAGTGATTCAGTCTTGTTCGTGATTCCGGCTTCAGTGATCTCTTGTTGGGGCAATCAAGGTAAAGGGCCTTGACAATGGGGAAGTCCATTCGCTCCAAGATCAAGAAACGTCTTCGGACTGTCAAGAGGCAGAGAGTTGATGCAATGATTATTACTCCTCGAGAGCAAGAAAAGTACGAAAAGCTCGTGCAAGTCGCTCAAGGCCGCAGCGTGACTCGCCTTCGGCCCAAGAATGCATTCAAGTACCCCGACTCTGAAGATGCGGTGTTTCCACAGCATGAGATCATGAAGCCTGTTGATTTCAGAGCACAGAATTTGCCCATGGCCGGGACAGTCTTCCGTGGCAACCGAAGGAAGTATTCAGATGAGGAGAAAGCAATGTTGAACAAGATCATCAAAGAGAACCACCCCAAAGTGGAGATTTTGGCCGGTGGAGGCGCAATTCTGGCCAAGACCGGGCAAAAAGTCTCCACTGAGGAGGCGGAGTTGATAGCAACCAAGGTGAATCGTCCAGAGACGGTCATCGAGCACGTGCGGAAAAACAAGGACGACTCCGAGATGATGGATGCACCTCAGCAAGACGCTGAGCATCTCAGCGTGGCAATTGAGCCTGAGGATGCAGCCGATGTTTCTCGGAGACCGATTGTCAAGGACACACGACGTGCCAAGCGAACAGCTGAAAGAAGACCGCGCCCCAATTCGGTGAAAAAGGCCAGAAATCCGCAAGCCCCGAAACCGGCCAAAGCTACCAAAGGTGCAAAGGCAATGTCTGCGGTGGCGTAAAGGGACGGGACCTACTGTGCGCTGGCAGAGTGAAGCAGACAATTTATGTTCATAAGTCTTCTTGTTGATTGGTTGCCAACACCGCAATATGCGTGATGTGTGGTGGCCCTGATCTTGGGAGTTTTCAATGCCAACTTGGGGCATGAAGAAGACTCCATGCGACGCGAAAAAATGCCTCTGAAGATGTACCAGAATGTGTCAAAATATCTCCTGGTTACAAGGATTTAAGTCTTTCCAATGATACAGTGGTACAGTACAGTGCGGTCACCACTGGCACTTGCTCCGGAAAGAGAAATCAATGAATTGAGCCGTTCGCTAGCAGTGGGTGTGAGGATGTGTCAGGTTAAGCATACTTGGAGCTCAGGTCGAAGGGTACTGCCGCACAGCGGGCATCAGAGAGGTCAGTGCAGAGGCGCTGTCGCGAGCAGACGTTCTTTGGCTTAGTTAGGAACAGTGCCAAAGGTGATTTTCCAGTCCAAGCCGGATCCCATGGTGCTTTTCCCGGCACCAAAAACGTAACTCTGCCCTGTTGAATCTCACCTGTTCAAGATTGACACTCAAGCTTTGGATGTGTGCCAGTATCTCCTTGCCAGGACGGACCTGGAGCCCCATGCAGGTCCTGTTACAGTGGCTGCGCCTTGCTGGCCAGTGACAATTGTACCGGGCAGTTGACATCGACCTAAGACCACCATGCGATAGAAGAAAAGACCGGCAGGGAAAAACAATAGTTTACGAGGTCGAGTTTTGCACTAGCTCTACACTACATAGATTGTTGTTGCATTTACATAGTTCTTTAAAACACCTGTCCATTTTCTGCCAGGTTTTCTCCGTTCCATCGGAAGCTCATGCTGACTGGATCAGCTGATGGTGGGGATGCTTGTCTAGTGTCCACGGGCCGAGTGATGCACCGCAACATTCATGTCTCACTTTGACCACCTGCAGGACGACACTCATTCCATGCTCTTCAGGCAAACATCGAACGTGGGATTTTCCTTTTCAGTATTTCTTAGGCTCCGTGAAGCTCTTTGATGTTCTTCAGCAACGAGCTGTACAGACCTTTTTTCCACCTTCTAAGTGCAGGTCTCAGTCTCTTAAATAAATTTTGTGGCCATGCGGCCATGCATCGTGAGTTTTCCACTACAAAGGCATCTCTCCACTTGTGCTGTTTCAGCAGCGGCCTGGTCCTCCGCCAGGCTCTTTTCTGTTGAAGAAAGACAATTCATTTCCGAGAAAGCACGGGTGAAGCAACAACGGGTGATCCATCGGACACGAACCACGAACTGAGCACGTTGTTGGATCGGTGAAGAAGCAGATTGATTGATCGACTTTTTCAGGCGCATGTTGTAGGAACAGTATTATTTTGTTTCTCCGGGTTGAACAGGAACTTGCTAACTGTATGCTGTATGTTGGAGGGTGGAACATTCCTCACGTGCTGTGTTCCATTTCACTTTGCTATTTATTGTTCAGAGAGCCAAAAGATGCTTGTGGGAAACGCTTCATCGTGACCCATACAAGCTGTATTTTGATATGAAAGATATGTAGCTCGGCTTGTCAATATATATATATATAGAGAGTTCAAATGGATATATATATATATACTTGTCAATTTAACACATTTTCTGCTTGATTGAAACACAAATCAGACCACGTGGGACCTTCAAAGTGTAGGAACTGGGTAGCCGTTGCATTTTACCATCCAGCGTGTGCCTTTCCTGTGGCCCACAACTCTTTTGCAGAGCACACTTGTCACCATGTGTCATGACTTCCTGTTTAGCTGGTTGTATCGTCGTGCAGTGAACTGGGAGACTTTGCGGATTGTAGCCCGCAATATGAAAAACTAAAATGTACGTTTGCCCCGAAGACAGGCCATGTGTGTTTGCAGTTGCGATGGAGATGGGAGGCGCGGCCAGAGATCAGATTCTTCTAGGCAACTTGAGGCCTGTGAGTAATCCAAATGTAATTTTCATGTGAGCAAAGGTGTGTACCTCTACGACCTCCTCCAGATTCTCGGCACAAAACCTTGCGTGCAACAAGAGTGCTTTCATGTGCTTCTTTTAGACCCTAGCAGCGTCCTTGTTCCTAGTACTAAGGCCAGGAGCCCCTAGTAGCGTCCTTGCTCCTAGTAGTAAGGGCAGGACCCTTGTAGCGTCCTTACTCCTAGTACTAGGACCAGGAGCCCCTAATAGCGTCCTTGCTCCTAGTAGTAAGGCCAGGAGCCCCTAGTAGAGTCCTTGCTCCTAGTAGCCCCCAGTAGCGTCCTTGTTCCTAGTAGCGATGCCAGGCGACTCTTAGTAGCGTCCTTGCTCCTAGGAGTAAGGCCAGGAGCCCCTAGTAGCGTCCTTGCTCTTAGTAGTAAGGCCAGGCGGCCAGGAGCCCCTAGAAGCGTCCTTGCTCCTAGTAGTAAGGTGAGGAGTGGCTAGTAGTGTCCTTGCTCCTAGTACTAAGGCCAGGAGCCCCCAGTAGCGTCCTTGCTCCTAGTAGTAAGGCCAGGACTGCCTGGAAGGGTCCTTGCTCCTAGTAGTTTGGCCAGGAGCCCCTAGTAGCGTCCTTGCTCCTAGTAGTGCCAGGAGCCCCTAGTAGCGTCCTTGCTCCTACCAGGAGCCCCCTAGTAGCGTCCTTGTTCCTAGTAGCGTCCTTGCTCCTAGTAGCGTCCTTGCTCCTAGTAGTAAGGCCAGGAGCCCCTAGTAGCGTCCTTGTTCCTAGTAGCGATGATGCCAGGAGCCCCTAGTAGCGTCCTTGCTCCTAGTAGCGATGCCAGGAGCCCCTAGTAGCGTCCTTGCTCCTACCAGGA